CATTATACTAAAACTATGCAGTCAGAAGAGGAGAATTAGAGGAAAGATAATACTGCGGCTATTAACCAGCATATATTCATTTTTTAAAAAGGAGAAGCTATTATCTAACATATATTCATATTTACAGAGCATTTCAGTCATGTCTTAACAGTCATATCTTCATGCAGTGTCAACCAGTATATCATACTGCATTAATTAGGTGTTCAGCAGAGCAGTGGCACGAGGAAAAAAACTGTTCTGGTGTCTAGATGTTTTAACATAACAGTGCTCCACAGCGCCGTCCTGAGGGGAGAAGTTGAAACCATTTATGTCCAGAATGAGAAGGATCTGCAGATATCTTCTCTGCCCTCCTTTTGACCCTCACAGTATACAGATCTTCTATAGAAGGCAGGTGGATTGCAATTATTCTTTCTGCAGACTTAACTATCCATTGGAGTCTGAGTCTGTCCTGTTTGGTTGCAGAGTCGAACCAATGTCCAGAATGAGAAGGATCTGCAGATATCTTCTCTGCCCTCCTTTTGACCCTCACAGTATACAGATCTTCTATAGAAGGCAGGTGGATTGCAATTATTCTTTCTGCAGACTTAACTATCCATTGGAGTCTGAGTCTGTCCTGTTTGGTTGCGGAGTCGAACCAGACGGTTATAGAGGAACATATAACAGATTCAATGGTTCCTCTATAAAACTGTACCAAAAGCTCCTGAGGTAATTTAAACTTCCTTAGTTGATGCAGGAAGAACATCCTTTCTTGTGCCTTTTTGAAGATGGTTCTGATGTTAAGCGTCCATTTCAGGTTTTGAGAGATTAGTGAGATTAGTTTTGTACAAGTATGTTGTATATAATGCCATGGATTGCACCAAAGTTTTAGTGACTGTACCACACAACACTTTAAAGAAGACCAGCAATTCATTATTAAGGAGTGTGCTTGTGGCTTTCCAGCTGTGCAACCCAATCAACCTAGATTATTGATAAACTTTTGTTTCTCAAGCATTAGTATCAAGCATTTGTTTTGCCATCAAATATTAGTGGAATGACACATACTGAAGCCTAATAAACTTAATAAAGTTTAATCAATCTTGTGTGTTCAATGACATCTGCAAAACTACATATATCCAACACCAAACAAGCAAAGTGAAAAAAGATGAAAGGAATAATCTCATGCTTGTTTACTGACTGATCTGTCCCCATCAAAGTTTATGTTCAATATGTAGAATGCCAAACACGATTTTTTTCTCAAATGTCAAAACATTCCTTGTCCAGAAGCCAAGAGGACTGGCCTTCAAACAATAATCACATATTTTATGTTTTATTTCTGTACATGGAAAAATATTATTTTCCATTTTTAATTTTGATTGGTAATATTTAATCTGGAAGATAATGCAGATATTAATGCATCAGTGATTAATTAATTGCAGAATTACAAATGTGTCTATAAAGGTACTTCAGTGTGTATGTGTATACATATTATATCATTTAAGTATTACAAAGGTAAACCTAAATTGAACAAAATAAAACAGATGGCTTAATGGCATCATTGCAATTTTCTCATACATTTATTTTCCAATTATCTTTTACCAGATTGTACAAATTTAGTCATTGTTTAGTCATTGTATGTAGTCAGCCTTACATACAATTTCTCATGTTATCCAGACATGCAGCATTGAAGATTTTCTTTCACTTATAATTAACTATAATGCAAACTCTTGAGATCTGTACACATATTTTAGGATCTTCATTGTACAAAGGCTTAAAATAGCACTTTTTAAACATCCTTTTTCTGAACTGACCACCAGTTTAATTAGGAAAAATGGGATTAACTAGAGGTAACAGGTCTTTGGGTGAATTAGCATCTTCTGAATGTTTGTACCAATACATTAATTTGAGTAACCTGATAACAATTTTAAGAGGAGTGGGGGAAGACCTCTTCCTGGTAACTATCCACACTTGTGGTGCTGAAAGAATATTTGTCAAAATGAGACCAATTATTAGATTTTCCGACAATAATACAGCCCATCTATATCATACTTAGTTTTCTGTTAAATATTACAAATGAATACTAGCAAAGATAATATAGTTACCTAACTTTTATAAAGATCACTAGTCCCCTGTAGTTCATCATGCCAATATAATCTATAGTTTTCTTCCCTGGTCCTGCATCTTTCACTATTTTGCTAATTATTAACTTTACTTGTTAACCATGACTGATCTAATGATGTGCCTATTTACTATGTTATTGCAACATTGCAAGATGTCCTAACCATTATGCAAGTTGTCTTTGTTTGCAGAATTACTGTGCACAAATGATTTACTTCTGAGCAGGTTTATTCCCCCATTTGCCCATGAAATCAAGATTCCAGATATAAATACTTACATACTCTTTCAACTTTTTTTACCAGTTAAAATATAAACAAACAATCAGTAACAGATGCTATAGTTTGACCTTTGGATATATAATGAACTTTGTTAAAAGAGAATATTAGCAAATCCATCAAGTGAAACCATATTTTAAGCAGAAAGTTGCCGGCCAGAAATGGTCAACGCTTTAGCGGTTCGAGTCCAGCCTTCGCGTTAAACAGGG